TGCCCGGACCGCACGCCCCGCAGCTCGCCGTCCCCCGCACGATGGAGCCTTGGGCGGAAGCGCAGAGCCGACGGGAGGCGCAGGAAGCCGGAGGACGCGGAGGAGGATGAACGCCGTCCGGACCGCAGGCCTGAGAGGTGAGGACCGGCCACCCCTGGTGCTCTCGGGAGGTGCGCCGCTGACTGAGGGGCCACAGGGTGTTCCTCTTCTCCCTGCCGGAAGAGTCTTTCCAGGGATAGGTGGCAGCAAAACTGGTTTCAACCGGAGCGGGCCAGTTAGGTTTATTGTGCTGCAGAAGAATACCAGGGGCTTCCATTTTTTTAAACAGCCGACATAGCAGTTTTTTATTTTACCTGTCTTTGGGAAGGTAAGTGTTATGTCATAGTCTCGGAGGTGTTGAGAGCCGAAAAGCAAGGTAGAGCTTGGGCTCACTCATCTTTGCTTCCTGGTGCTCTCACGGTGCCCTGTGTGAGAGACTCTGTTGCTGTGTTGCCTTCGTTGAGCGTTTTCTGGGCTAGGCAGTGTGCTGGGAAGGTCAGAAAGGGAGTTGGACAAGGTAGCTGGTTAGAGAGGGAAAGGGGGATTTCAGAGGGGCCAGGAGTATGAAGGAAGCGTGCTGGCGGGTGTGGGCAGTTCCGGGAAGAGGTGGTGGTGACTGGGGTGAAGGAAGTGATCCTTTGTGCCCAGGCCCTTAGGTTGGGGACAAGTTTGGTCTTGAAAGTTGGTAGAGGACCCCGACCCGGTCGTTCTCCCTGAGCTGCAAGTTCAAGGTCAGCTTCGGCTACATAGTGAGTTTAAGGTCAACAACCTGAACTGCAAAGCAAGACCCTGTCTCAAAAAACAAAATAACAGAAAAGGAAATTGATAAGAGGATCAGGATATCTGGCGTGTGCTAAGTGCCAAAGGGTATAGGAACTTGGCTTGATGGGGCAGCAAGGGTGGTGGGGAACACGTGTGGCTCAGGACACTTAAGGGCAGGCCTCGTAGGACTTGCTGATGTATCAGGGGGGAGGAAAGGATGACTCAACTTTCCGGCTTGTTGATTGGCAGGCTCTTGCCCAGGTGTAGAGGTGGAGGCCCAGCAAACCTCAAGTGGAAGGGAGTCAGTGGGAGTAGTCTGTGTTACAATACGATGTGAAGATATATTTACAGTACTTAAATAAAGACTTGGGACTGAGTGTGAATGTAGGGAAGGCCCTAGGCTAGAGGCAAAAATGAAAGCAATCAAATCTTGTGTGAAGGGTTGATGGTGCAAATTTATAATCCTGCCAGCACTCTGGAGCCTGAGGCAAGAAGTTCAAGGCCAGGCTCTAAACAGAAACTTGGAGGTCAATCTCTGAACCTTCCCTTTGTCTCTTAGGTTAAGAGGAGATGTTAGGGCTGGAGGTTTAGCTCAGTGTTGCTGCTGCTTGGGCGCAAGGACCAGAGTTCAATCTCCAGTACCAAAAAAAAATGTTAATTCTTAGAAATTTTCTCTAAGGCATTGTATCTGAACAACAGCCTTGTGGTTCACAGGTGGATCGTAGAGCCTTCTTGTTTCTCTGAGAAGGTGGGAATTGTGTCCAGGGCCTCCCTCTTTGCTGCTCTGTGCTGTGTGCTCAGAAGAGGTGCCTGCGGTCACCCAACAAGTAGAACCATCTGCATCTCCATATTGGCTGTAGTGAAGTAGTGGAAAGAAGTGAGCTCGATATATGAGCAGTGTTGTCACACAGGGTAGATTGTGAATGTAATCTGCCTAATTTGGGAAATGGACTTTAGCTTCACAAAAGGTGCTGCACTATGAGGTGGAACAGATCACTCACTCTTTAAACGGTCCTTGTTCAGACATCTCTTGGCTGGGAGGTTGGAGGCCTGTCCTTCTTTGCTAGTTGGGATTTGAAGTTCAGTCCAACCCTGGGCAAAAACTCTGATTCCACTTTGTATCTATGACAGAATTACTTAGTCAGTTTAACTTTGAGTTAATTGCCTAATTTGATTTCAGCCTTTTCCAACCATTTTTATATACGTATGTGTATACATATATACATATACACACACACATGTATGTATGTATGTATGCAAATACATACATGTTCATATATTTTTTGGGGGAATACCAGGGATCGAACTCAGGACCTCGAACTTGGGAGGCAGGCATGGTGCCACTGAACTTAATTCTGGCCCAATACATGTGTGTATTTTGAGACAGTCTCTTGAGTTGCATAGGCTGGCCTTGAAATTGAGTCCTCCTGCCTCAGCAGGTCAGTATTACAGGCACACCACCATGCCTGATGCCTGATTTCCATCTTTTCTTTTTAGACAGGGTCTCACTATGCAGTTGAGACTGACCTGGAACTCATTATGTAGCCCAGGCTGGTCTCAAACTCACGGTAATCCTCCTGCCTCAGCCTCCCAAATTCTGGGATTACAGGCATGCCTCACCATGCCCGGCTCTTCCATCCTTTTTTTAAATCTTGAAATTTACTTTTAGAAATCAAATTTAAGTTTTTTGTGTAATATGATTATAAGAGAAGTGGTTCGTAAAAAGGTTGTTCGTTTGTTATTTAGATTGTTTTCAAAGTTTCAAACATGACATTTGGTTTGCAGCTAGAATATATGTTGGTGTAGCTGAAATCAGTGTCCAGTTTTTTGAAAAAAATTCTGTAAATTTCCCAGTATTAGGGATTGAGCCTAGTGTCTCCATATGCTGGGGAAGTGGTTCAGTCCTGAGTTATATCCCCAATCCTTTTGTTTGTTTTTGTTTTTTTTGGTACCTGGGATTGATCTCAGGACCTTGTGCTTGCAAGGCAGGTGCAGTGCCACTGAGCTAAATAAATCCCTGGCCCTCCCAATCCTTCCTTTTTAAGTTATTTTGAGACAGGTCTCACTAAGTTGCCAAGACTGGGCTCAAACTTTGTGATCCTTTTGCTTTAGCTTCCCACTTAACTGAAGTTCTAGATATGCACTACTGTGCCCTGCTACTGTCTAGTTTTGGTGCACCAGAATGGGCCAGTGGGAAACTGGGGAGGAAAAAGAGAAATGTAAGTCTTTATCTAATTTATAAATAATGGAGTAATTATAGCTTCTAGAATTTTTGGTACTAATCCTTGAGTTTTCAGATTGCCATTTGACTGAAGTTTTTCTTGACTTTGAGATAGAATCAAGTGCTAGCTTAGGTTTAACCCAGTGTAGGTATGTTTTTTTTTTTTGCTTTGTTTTGTTTTTTTTTTGAGACAGGGTCTCACTGTGTAGTTCATACTGCTCTGGAACTCACTGTGTAGCCCAGGCTGGTCTCGAACTTGCAGTGATCCTCCTGCCTCAGCCTCCTGAGTGCTGAGATTACAGGCATGCACCACCACACCTGGCCAAGGTGTGCTCTTTATTGTACAACGTGTTCTAAAGCACAAGGACTCAGGGATACACATTTGACTGTGGTGTATGTTCTGAAGCAGGTGTCTAAAAGGTAGGCCCTGTCTTGGCTCTTCCGCAGTGGACTGTGTCCCCATGATTCAGCCAGTACTGGCACAGAGTGGGTGGATAGCTCTGATGAGGCCCAGGGAAGATTGAAGAGACTTGTCCAAACTCAACTAGTAAGTTGTGGAGCAGGGATTTTCTTTGACATCAGCTTCACTTCTAAAACTTGTTTCCTGGTATTCTCTCCAAAAGCCTCTATGTCCTGACCACTGGGTAGTCCTTCCACAATTCTGATGTTTCCGTTTCATTTCAGCTTCACCACTCCTGAAACTCATAAGCCCCATTCTAGATGTTCAGACTGGGCAAGTGCAGTTGAAGAAGATGAAATGAGGACCAGAGTTAACAAAGAAATTGCAAGGTATATGTTTTGGACTGCTTTGAAATTTTTTGGGTGGCTTTTTAAATTACATACTTAACTCAAGGTATGTCTTATTGTGGTGGTTCTCACAAATCTGGTCCATAGACCGGTGGCATCAGGCTCTCTCTGGAACATGGTGGAAATGCACATTCTTAGAGCCAGGGATGTGGCTCCATGGCACTGTACCTGCCTGGCAAGCACAAGGTCCTGAGTTTGATTCCCCAGTATCAGGGAAAAAAAAAATCACATTCTTAGGCCCCTTTGACCTTTGCAGGGCCGATGCCAGCCATACTATAAGAATTGTTCTTTTTGGGCGGGGATTTAGCTCAGTGGTTTGGTGGCCTGCCTTGCAAGCGCAAAGACCCGAGTTCTAATCCCTGGTACCAAAGAAAAGGAGAATTGTTCTTTTTTTGTGTGTGTGGTACCGGGGGTTGAACCCAGGACCTTTTGCTTACAAGCCAGGAAGTGGAACCACTGAGTTAAATCCCTGGCAAAATATTGACTTATTGACTGACTGACTGACAGATTGATTTATTGGTACCAGGGATTGAACTCATGACCTTGTGCTTGCGAGGCAGGTGGTGGAACCACCGAGCTAAATCCCAGGCCCCTCAGCCATACTATAAGAAGCCCTCTGTTTCTCAATGTAAAGATACCTGGTTTAGTAGTTATCCTAAGACTTGCAAGTAGGTGAAGTTGTGCTAGGTATCACCATTGCCTGATGGGGAGCGTTCTTTCTGTGCTTTGCTTTTCTTTTTTGAGGGGGCACTGGGGATTGAACCCAAGCCTCAGGCATAGCCTCTACTATAGTACTGAGCTGTATCTCTCCTCCCCTTGGTTGGGAACCTTTTCCAGCCATTTCCAACCTACAAAATGTGCTTTGGTTGGCACTTGGCTGAGTAACAGCTCAGATAGTAGGGTGTAGGGAAGGGTCCTGTCTTGGGGACTTCATTCTTTAACGGTTGTGAACAGTTTTTCCACTAGTCATCACCTTTTGGAGGGTGCATCTTTAACCATTATTTAATTTCTGTTGATTTACGGTATTATGTTTTTTGCTCCTTTTCTCCTTGAATGTGTACCTTCTAAAACCAGCTGCCTGGCTTGAGTTAAAACGTAATTTGTAATTAGAAGTAACCTGTGTATTAAATCAAGAGGTTTAGCTGTTGAGTGCCTAGCAGATTAGACAGGATCTTGGTTTTCTCTAAGGAAGGAATGTGTCCTAGTGGCAGGCCTCCCAGTCCTGTTATTATTGCCAGTGGTATTTAGACTTCACTGATTACACTACTTAGGATTTTTTTTTGGCCTAGAGATCCTTTACGTGACAGGATGGTATCCTTGAGGTCATTGAGGCAGAGTTTTCTCGAGTGGTTACTTGAAGCACTAGTTGTACATCTGATCTGGGCAGATGAACTGTATCTTATGAAGTGATGTAACTGAAGGAGGTTGAAAATGAAAAAAATGATAGCTGGATGTGGTGGCACAAACTTGTAATTGCCAATAATCCCAGAATTCAGGAGGCTATCTAAAAAAGTCAAAGAAATGGTGGGCACACTTGTTTACACTTCTCATACCAACTACGAAGGAAGGCTGAGATCAATCAACCCTGGGCAACTTAGTGTGACTGTCTGAAAAAAAAGGACGGGGAAGGTGTGAGTCAGTGGTAAAGCATCCCTGGGTTCAATCTAGGTACCAAAAATAATAAAAGTGGACGGGGTTAGTTCAGGGGATCCATGCCTGCCTAGCAAGCGTAATGTGTCCTGAGTTTGATCTCCAGAACGGGGGTGCAAAAATTAAGTAATACCTTCATCCCAAACCCCACTGTTTAGGATTTGTTCCTGGTAGTTGTTAGCGCTAGATTTATTAGTTATTTCTCATAATTTTGTAAAAACTAATACTTATTTTGTTTTCAGGTATAAAAGAAAACTTCTCATAAATGACTTTGGAAGAGAGAGAAAATCTTCATCGGGAAGGTATGTGTCACTTTTTTTTGAGACAGGGTCCCGCTCTGCTGTTCAGTCTGACCTTCAACACATTTTGTAGTTCAGCCTGGCCTCGAACTCATGGTGATCCTCCTTGCCTCAGCCCACTGAGTGCTGGGATTTACAGGCATGTGCCACTACACCCAGCTAAATATTTCTTTATAATCTGTTAATGAAAAGAATTGCGATTGAGAAATGCTGATTGTCCTAATAGCAATTAGTGGTTAATCTGTTTTTTTACTGATTTGAAGTAATTACCATTGTTGTGTATTAGAATTTTATATGTACAAAGATTCTGGACTATCCTGGGATTAATACCGTTGATGATCCAGAGGTTGAATGTTTGAGCATTTTCTTGGCATAGATTACATGGTGGTTGTAATTTTGAGGTTCTGTTAATCTTTCATTTTTCTCAGTTCTGATTCAAAAGAGTCTACATGTGCAGTTCCTGCTGACGTGGAGACAGATGAAAGTGTCCTCATGAGAAGACAGAAGCAGATCAACTATGGGAAGAACACCATTGCCTATGATCGCTACATTAAAGAAGTCCCCAGGTAGTCCTGTCTCATTGGCATGGCTTGAATCAGCCCCAGCATTGTACTTAGGAGTTGCTTACATTGACTAGGGATGGTGAACCTTTTAATGCTCTTAGTAACTCTGGCATGGGTGCTGTAGGTTTACCACCACTGAATTAGACCCCCATTCTGCGATCCCTTTCTTAGGCACTTAAGTAGAAATCAATAGATAGGCATTTGAAAACCCTGGGACATGAGGATTAAAAAGTAATTTTGCAAGCCTGGTATGGTGGTGCATACCTGTGATCCTGAGACTTGGGAGGCTGAGGCAGGAGGATTGCCATGAGTTCAAGACCAGCCTGAACTATATAGTGAGAGACTTGTCTCATAAACAACAACAAGGGCCGAGTGGGATTAAGTTTACTTTTCTGGAATACATATTGCAAGGAGTGGTAACATTCAAAGAAATGTGCCCCCCCTTTAAATAGGGTCTTGCTTTGTGGCCAGGTTGGCCTTGAATTTGATGCAGTCTTCCTGCCTCAGCCTCCCCAGTGGTGGGATTATAGGTGTGCACCACCAGTTGTGCTTTTGTTATATGTTACTTTGCTTATCTGTTGATCTCTTAATTTGTTAAATGAAATCTCAGGGCTTGGTTAATCTTATAGTAAATGCAGATGTGAGCGGCCTGGGCTAGGGTAATCTTGCTGTGTTCTTGCAGACACCTTCGACAGCCTGGCATCCACCCCAAGACCCCCAACAAATTTAAGAAGTACAGCCGGCGGTCATGGGACCAGCAGATCAAGCTCTGGAAGGTGGCGCTGCATTTTTGGGACCCTCCGGCTGAAGAAGGATGTGATTTGCAAGAATTGTATGTCTTTTGCATTCTTGTTTCTCAGTTTCTCTGCTTGGCACAGGGTCTGAGCCAGTTGTATGTTGTGATCTAAAAGGCTAGAACTACATGGAGGCTTTGTCTTATTTGGTGTGTGGGTGTGGGTGGGGGGTACTGAGGATTGAACATAGGACCTTAGGCTTACTGGGTTTATGCTCTACCTACTGCTAACCTGTGCTTCCACTCTTTTAAATTTTATTTCAGGGGCCGGGGATTTAGCTCAGTGGTGCTGCTTCCTGCCTCGCCAAGTGCAAGGTCCTGAGTTTGATCCCCAGTACCCCCCAAAATATATATATATTTCTATACTTTTGTGAAAACAGTAACACTTATTTTGTTTTCAGGTACATAAGAAAACTTCTCATAGCCGGGCGTGGTGGTGCACGCCTGTAATCCCAGCACTTGGGAGGCTGAGGCAGAAGGATCACTGTGAGTTCGAGACCAGCCTGGGCTACATAGTGAGTTCCAGGTCAGTCTCAACAACATAGTGAGACCCTGTCTCAAAAAACCAAAAAAAAAAAAAAGAAAAAGAAAACTTCTCATAAATAATTTGGAATATGAATGTATAGCCAAAATCTGAGTTGCCCAGACTGGCCTAAACTGGTGATCCTCTTCCCTTCAGTGTGCAGCACTACAGGGGCGGATCTTGCCTTAATTGAGAAAGACTGCCTTTTTCCTGGTACTTAGTTGAAAATATCCCACTGAACTTTTGCTCATGCTCAGAATCTGATAACGAAGAATGTGCCAAGAAATGGCCTTGTGCTTGCTCCCTTTGATATTCTGCCAGCTTCTCTCTCCTCTGGTCCTGAGCCTCTGCCTTCCTCAGAAACACATTTATTCAACAGATATTTGAGTGTCTTCTCTATGCTGAGAAATTTAGGAGAAATTGGCATGTTTGACTTTGTGCTTGAGAGGTATGCGTGGTGCCACTGAGCTAAATCCCTGGATCCCTGGCCGTTTTTTTTTGAGACAGGGTCTTGCCATGTAGTTCTGGCTGGCCTTGAATTCACAGCGATCCTCCTGAGGGGCTGGGGTTACAGGTGTGGGACATCACAGCTGGTTTGAAATGATTTCTAAAATGGCTCTGTAAACGTGACCTTAGAGATGTCATTACAACTTTTTCCCAGTGTGACATTACCCTCCCATTCTCATGTGGGAAAAGTTAGAGATCACATATGATGGTTTCTTGCAGTGTTTTCTCCACACAATTTGGGCTTTAGCGAGGTGTGATGGAATATACCTGTGATCTCTGGTGTTGGAGAGGCTAAGGCAGGAGGATCACAAGTTTAAGGTCAGCCTGGGAAATACAGTAAGATGCTGTCATAAATAAAAAGTCCAAGTGGTTCCGCCACCTGCCTCACAAGTGCAAGATCTTGAGTTTGATCCCCACTACCAAAATAAATAAGTAAGCCAGGTGTGGTGGCGCATGGCTGTAATCCCAGCACTTGGGAGGCTGAGGCAGAAGGGTTGCTGTGAGAGACCAGCCTGGGCTACATAGTGAGTTCCAGGTCAGTCTCAACTACATAGTGAGACCCTGTCTCAAAAAACCAAAAAAAAAAAAAAACAAAAAGCTTGGTGGTTGATTGCTTGTGTAGCAGGCAAAGGCCCTGGCCCTGCATTGTGAGAAAAAAAGATTCATGTTTGTTCCGCCTACAAGAATGATTGTTGGTGGGGATAAATGATTCCAAGGGTGTGGAGCATGGAAGATCTTATTCCTCAGATAGGACTAATACCTAGAATCTGTAGAGAATTCAAAAATATTAGACCTCGAAATAAAGGACAAATCAAAAAGTGACACATAAAATGAATAGACACTTCTCAGGACTACAAACAGCAAAATAGGTACATGAAAAAATGCTCAACATCTGTAGCTATTAGAGTATTGCCTTTTTGTTCTTGGAAACAACCAGTATTGAACTTGATATGTGCCTTCTAATCTCAGTATTAATGGTAATTTCAAGGTTTGGTTAATGTTCTTTTTTTTGATACTGGGAATTGAACTAGGGACCTTGTGCTTGTGAGGCAGGCAGCAGGCAGTGGAATCACTGAGCTAAATCCCTGGCCCTGGTTAATCTTGTAGCTACTTTGATTGTGTGAGTGGTCTGTGCTAGGGTAATCTGTTCTTTCCTGCAAACACCTTAAAACTTAACACTGAGCTATTCTGTCTTACTCTAGAAAGAATAGCTGTCAAGTAACAAATGCCACCAAAGCTGTGGTGTTGGTACATAGCCACTATGCAAATTAGTATGGAGATTCCTTAAAAAATTAAATAGAAATTCCATTTGACCCAGTCATTCCCCTTCTAGGTATTTTCCAGAAAGAGTTAAAGATATTACATTATTTATTTTTTGTTTTTAAGCCAGGGTCTAGCTATGTAGTTCAAGTCTTTTTTTTTTTTTTTTAAAGAATTGTATTCTTTATTTGTAATAACCCATAAATGTTGTTATTCTAGTATTTCTAACTAAGAAAGAAATTTCCTATCAGTTTAAGTTCTATTGCATGAAAGGGCTACAAATACACATTTAACCAAGCAGAATACAGGTATTTTGCCTAAGATACCAGTACACATAGCAGGTTTATTAGTTGTCATAGCAATTTGGGGTCATTGTCAAGTCTGTCTTGAACTTACTATGTAGCCCAGGCTGGCCTTGAACTCTGAGCAATCCTCCTGCCTCAGCCTCCTAAGTGCTAGGATTACAGCATATGCCACCACACTTGGCAAGATGTTTTATTAGTGATGCATTCACGTCCATGTTTGTAGAAGCACAATTCCTATTAGGTAAATCTTGGAAGTTGCCTGTATATTCATCAGCATGTCGATAAACAAAATACGATAAAGAAATGGAATACTAGTCTGCCAAAAAGGATAAATTTGAGTCATTTGTAGGAAAAAAAGATGCACCTTCACAATGTTAAGTGAAATCAGACATGCAAGCTTAAACATTGCATGGTTTCTCTTTTATGAGAAACCCAAATTATCATTAAAGAGCAAAATAAAAGATAATAGAAACAGGGAGGTAGATCTTCTGCAAATGGGAGGGAGACCAAGAAGTGGGAGGGGGAAGGAGGAGTGCTGAAGAGGAAGCACAGAGAAGAACCTGTTAACATCCCTGTCTCGGCTCCCTGGGAGGACTGCATCACTGTAGGCATGGGTGATGGAAAGGAGAGGGGCAGATCTTTGACTTGTAGGTGCTGTCTTTGTGCTTTTTGTGCTGGATTGGTTGGGGAGAGGTTGAGTGTGGAAAAATGGGGGATCCTGGAAAGGGAGGGAGCCCTTGGGGAACTTGGGGAGTGTGATGAGTGCCGCGTGCTGCTCATCAGGATGCAGGTAGCCTGTAGCCCTGGGGAGCTGCTGTGGTGCAGGATTCCTGCTCTCTCAGCCAGCGCAGACCTAATGGGTTCCCTTTACAGACACCCTGTGGACCTGGGGGAAATGGAAACAGAATCCACAGAAAGCAGCTCAGAATCCCAGGCGAGCTCACAGGATAACTCGGTAAGTGTTGGTTTGGTTACTTACCTCTTTCAGCTTGCATGTTGGAGGTGAATTGTCACTATGTGCTGAGGTGGAAGTTAGAGCTAAAACTTGATTCTGACACTATGGAGAAGGGAGAGTTTATCATATTTCTTGTCATTGGAATGGCAATTTAATCCTAAGAATGAGTTCAGACAAGTCAGGCTGATTCAGTTCATTTTCTTTTCTTTTTTTTTGGTACCAGGGATCACACTCAGGTCCTTGTGCTTGCAAGGCAGGCAGTGGAAGCACTGAGCCAAATCCCCAGCCCTAGTTCTTTTTCGTTGATGGTAAAGGGCCATTCCCTTTGAGTCCAGCATCTGCTTGTGCTTCGCCATTGGCACCCACCTGTAGGCTGTTGGTGTTGCTGACTGTAGTGTAGGAGTCATCTGCTGAATGTTACGGAGATCCTTCCTTCTGTACAGTTTCCCTGCATTTGCTGGTTTTTAAAGTTATGTGTTCCCCACCCACACCCCCAGCATCTTAAATGAAAAATCAGGTGAAAGATTAAGATCGTAAACATTGTTGAAAGCTGCTAAATTCTTTGTCAGAATTGGACAGACAGTTGCCTTTTCCTCCTTTCCACACCTGTGTCCCCTTGGGAGCCCAGTGCCTGTCCTGACTTGTGACCATTTGTACACCAGAGAATCTGGTTGTGATGGAACTTTGATGAAGTGTGCCTCTTAAGAACTGCCTCAGATGATGTTTTGGAAGACTGTTTAATAACATGGAGGGGGCCAGGGACTTAGCTCAGTGGTTCTGGCATGCCTGCCTTACAAGCACAAGGGCCCAAGTTCGATCCCTGGTACCAAGAAAAAAAAATTGTCAGGATGAGTTTAAAGAGGATGCTTAACTAGGTGAATTTGATTGTTTGTTTGTTTGTTTGTTTGAGACAGGGTCTCACTGTGTAGTTGAGACTGACCTGGAACTCACTATGTAGCCCAGGCTGGTCTCAAACTCACAGTGATTCTCCTGTCTCAGCCTCCCACTGCTGGGATTATGGGTGTGCGCCACCACACCCGGCAAACTAGGTAAATTTTTAAAGATTCTGAACTGAGCTCAGTTTTGTGGGTATTTATTATAGAGAAGGGCTTTTATAAACAAATTTTTAAAAATGCAACCCTGGGCCCAGTGGAAGAAGCACTAGGATAGGCCATGCCCAGCATTAGCCTCACAAACGAGTGGTCTTATATCAATAATTATAGTTTCATTAATAGTCATCTTCGGGTTGGGAGGCACTCAGTCATACTGCAGGAAGTGAAGGTAGGGACTGGGAGCCAGGCTTCGCTAAGGGAGAAGGTGCCCTTAGGGAGGGGAGGGAAGGGGAGAAGGCTGGGCTGAGGTGCTACCTAGCAAAGCACTGTCCCCAGGCTGTCTGGGATCTCTCCATCTGTGCCCCCAGCACTGTAGTCTGGTGAGAGCATTGATGGAGCTCCTCCACTGAGCACTGCCACTTCGTCCTCTTAGATTATTGGTGTTCTCTTGGGCTAACCACAGTATAATCACACGCAGGAAGAGGAGCCTTGAAACACTACTGTTAGTAAACTGTGTACACTTAGGTTGCCCAGTTCTTTCTTGTGGTGGGGGTATTGGGGTTTAAACCCAGGGGCATGCTACCTTTGCTATAGGGCTTCCTCACGTTGCCAAGGCTGGTCTTGAGCTTCTCCTGCTTCAGTCTCCCAGGAGTTGGAGTTACAGGCATTCACCACTGTGATCCAGTTTTTTTTGGCATTTCTTTTCTGATCTATAATACCATGTATTACGTTTAAATTACCCTAGCTTTTTAATTTGCTTTAATGTAGAACAGGCTCTTTGCCTTTTCTGTATGTCTTTGACTCATTTCTTTGAAGAGTTTAGGCTGGATTTTTAAGCAGAATGTTTGTCACTTTTGAGTTGTTGGATTTTTCCTTAAGGCGTAGGTCAGATTGAATACTTTGGGCAAGAATACAGTATAGGGGTATTGTGTGTATTGCTGCTGTTAAATTTACAGCCAAGGGGCAGGGATGTAGTGGTAGAGTGCTTGTCTAGCATGCCCCCCAGGCTCTGGGTTCAGTTGCCAGTAGGGGTATATGTTGGGAAATATACTCATTAAGACAATCTGGAGACATCAGTTTAAATGCTGTCACTTCCTGCCCTAAAATAGCTACCTTTCAGTTTGGTTTTCTTTCTTTTTTCTTTTTTTTTGGTTTGGGGGATTGAACTCAGGACCTTGTGCTTTCGAGGCAGGCACAGCAATACTGAGCTAAATCCTGGGCCCAGTTCCTTTTACTCTTACAGAATGTGCATATATCTACACTTGGTGACATCTTTATTTGTAGTATTTATCCTCTTACGGCATTATTGTTAGACTCCATTCCTTTTTTATTTTTGAGGCAGGGTCTCACTGTGTAGTTGAGACTGACCTGGAACTGTGTAGCCCAGGCTGGTCTTGAACTCACAGTGATCCTCCTGCCTCAGCCTCCCGAGTGCTGGGATTACAGGTGTGTGCCACCACGCCCGGCTGGACTCCATTCCTAACTGCATCAAGCACCTTGACATGTGTTGCTTCATGGGATTCCAGAAGCTGTGGGTGCAGGATGAGGACGAGTGCAGCTCCATGGCCGCTGGGTGGGGCAGAACCAGGGTGATAGCTGGTGTCAGGTCTTCATGGTTTAGTGCGTAGGAATCTGAAGCTTCCAGTAAATTTGATGTCGTAGTCCAGGGGTCTTATTTAGCTAACTGCTTTGAATTCTGTGAGTGTCTTGCAGTTGTGTGGCCCTCATTGTAACCCTCGCTCTTGTGCCACTGGTGAGCAAGCCTGCCTGTGCTGTGTCCTGGCGTCAGTGTGACCTGTGCTTTCGTTTTCTAGGATGTGTATTCCGGCACGCCCACAAAAGTTAGACACAAGGACTGCCAATTGGAAGATGAATTTGATTTGGAAGCTTGTTTGACTGAACCCCTGAGAGACTTCTCGTCCATGAGCTAACTGCCACCCGGCGGCCATCAAGAGAAACAGTTGCCTCCATCTAGTCCTGGGAAGGCCAGCCAGGCACCACGCGTGCGGTATGCACTTCTACCGGGATGGTTCCCGTTAATAATTCACTTATCTCATGATGAGCTGTTATTCTTGCCTTATTTGTACAGTGTGTGTTCTGCATGTTTTAAATTGTGAGTGTACCTTAATCTGAGAAAGATCGAATGTGAAACAGTCCTGAAACAAATTTAGTTGGTTAATGCCCACCGAGCTCCTTTCTCCAAATCTGACCGCCTGGTGTGCTTGAACTGTCAGTTCCTGTTATGAGGTGGGTTGTGATCTGACTGTGGATTCATGGGAACAATGTAGAGTTAGCTTTCTCTGCAAGTATCTTGACAGGATTCTCAGAGGCAGATGCCTTGGGTAACTTTTGAAACTCACTTTCTGGTCTTCTATCAGTATGTCAAACCAGGTTTTGTTTGTTGTACAGAACTCTGAAAGTCAAAGATGTTAAACTGGATTGTTAATGGGTTCTATATATAAGTTATGCAGTTTTAACTTGATACTTGTAAATAGCCCTAGTTAGGATCTTAACCTATATAGTACCCTGAGTGTTAAGGGAATGTGGATTTAGACTATTTTTTGTTTGTTTGTTTTTTTGGTACCGGGGATCAGACTCAGGTCCGTGGGCTTTCGAGGGCGGCACCACTGAGCTAAATCCCCAGCCCCTAGAAAGAACATTTTTTTTTTTATAGTCAATTAATGTACCATGTAAAATTGCTGTAAATGATAACATGTACAGATTCTTTGTTCAGATAATCAGTTGTAAACTTAAGACTGTTGTGTTTCTATTGCTTTTGTATGGAATGATATCTGCAAAAATAAAATGAAAGGAACCACCTTTAACTGATGTAATTGTGCTGTAGGTTGGCTCACTGTCCTGATACAGTGCTGTATCCTTGGCCTACAGTGCTCACCTGGTGAGTGGCAGCAGATCCCCACCATGGTGGCCCTTATGTCCCTGTCCGTCTCACCTGGTGACAGGTGTGGATCTCTGGTGCGGGACCCTGACCATGGGTCAGTGCAAAGCCTGACATGTCAGCATGGGCCTGCACAGCCTGGGTCCTGCATGTCCTGCCTCTGGCTGAACTCTGGCAGCCCTGACCCTGATGTGGCTGTCAGTCCAAACCCATGGTCATATGCCCAAGGACGCCCCCTTGGAAGTGAGGTGTGGAGGTGGGCTCTGGCAGCTTGGTTTAGGGAGTTTGCAAGGACAGAATACCTTCTTGCACAATTCTGAAATAAACATTTTGCAGGTCCTTTGGCACCCAGTAGGCCATTTGGCAGGCTGCACAGCGATGCAGCACTGGTGGGATGGTACTTTAAGATTAAAGGATGAAAGAGGACAGCAGGGTAGGGCATGTGGGGAGTTGCCACTGTGAATATTGTTGGTAACGTATACTAATGTGGCATTTGAGTCAGGCTCCCTGTCACCCCTGGGAGGGCAGTGCTAACAGAGACTCCGTGGTCAGTGTAGAGAGTCCTGAAGTGTGGGAGAAGCAAGCTGAGAGGGGCTTAGGGTGTGGCTGCTGAAAGCCTGGGCTGTGAGGAAGTTGCTGGAAGAGCCTCAGGCTGGGGAGATAGACCAAGCTGTCACTGTGATGAAGCTTGGGACATTTTGCCTGCAGCACTTGCCTGATGGCTGGTGGATCAGCTATACATTACTTAGGCTGGGCACTGACAGGCTACTGGCCCCTGCTGCATGTGCTAGATCACAGGCACTGGTCAGTTAAGGGAAGAAGCGTAGGATGAAATACAGAGGGGCCAAGATGTTCTCAGCCTCCCCCCACTGCCCCCATGGCAAGACCAGAGTTCCAAGGGTGATTGCTGAGCAAAGCTCCAATCCAGAAAGACACACACCAAAGCTGAGGGTGCAACTGCTTGGTCTCTTTCAAGACCTTTGAAGGTTGACCTATAAACAGGGCTGCCTTGATGCTTAGGAACCTGTGGACTGGTTTCGAAGAGACCTGTGGATGGAGCTTCAATTTAAAGAATTGAACCACCAGTAAGATTCACAGTAGTCTGGCAGAGCTTTCAGAAAAGTGACACTGGCGGGCAGACTGGATGTGGCATGAAAAGGGACAGGCATTGGACGCCTGGGAAAATCCCAGCTGCATGAAAGGTGACCATTGGAAAGGCTGGTTCTGAGGACCCCTGAGCTGATCAAAGGCCTAGAGAACCTCCTGCGGGGAACCACATGGCCCGTGCTGTTACACTGCAGGCTTCCCGGGAGCAGCCACCTGGAAGCACAAGTCCTCTGAGAGTTGTTGCAGTTATTCAAAGAGAGGCACTTGCCCTGGGTGCAGTCCTCCTGCACAGCAGAGGGGCTTGGGGCAAGAGCTGGTTCCTAGGACACACCCTGGACCCAGGCTGTTGCTGCAGTCAGATGACATTGGGGAGGTGGAGGTGGGAGACCTCAGCAGGGCTTGAGTGTGTAGCTTGCGTTTTGGAGGATAGAAATTGTGTCCAGGGGGGTGGACTATAATAGTCTTGCCTTTTTTTGTTTGTTTGTTTTTTTGAGACAGGGTCTCACTATGTAGTTGAGACTGACCTGGAACTCACTATGTAGCCCAGGCTGGTCTTGAACTCCTCCTGCCTCATCCTCCTGAGTTCTGGGATTACAGGTGTGTGCCACCATGCCTGGTGAGACGGTCTTGCTATGTAGTTCAGGCTAGCCTCGAACTCATGGCAGTCCTCCTGCCTCAGCCTCCTCAGTGCTGGGATTATAGGCGTGCACCACCATGCCTTAAAGGGGAGGACAAGGCAGGCAGGGTGATGAATGATGGCAGGTTGGGAGGGGTATTGGGAGGACTTCAGCTTTGCTCTCAGTGGGATGAGCAGCCAGGGAGTCCTCAAGCAAGGAGTGTGACCTGGGCTCCTAGCTTTTGCTTCACATTTATATTCTTAGAGTGCTCTTAAGCACTAAGGAAATCAATCAGTTCTTGCCTTGCAGTGCTGTCTACATAACCTGGTATTTTCTATTTGAGGGTTACAAATAACTGATAGGCTAGGATCCAGTTTCTTTGTTCCTCACTCTTGTGCATTGAACCAGGAGGTGTCAGAACTGAATGAAGGTGATCCGTGATCAATTCTTCACCACCCCAGGCTGACGGCTGTCCCGTCCCCGTCTCAGGCACTGCCCATGTCACCACACGCAGACTGGGGTCAGCTTATCAGGGCTGTCATTCTGTGTCCACGTCCCCAACGTACTTCCTCATCGTGTACTGTGAGGCTGTGTTTGTCTTTGACTCCTGTCCCTTGGTAGGAATTTGTCAGTCGAATCTCCCAGGTGAGCCATCACTCTTCCTGACTGGGAGTCCGCCACCTTGGGCGCCCTGCACCCCGCAATAGTTCTTTTGTTTAGTGGATGGGCTTCAGGTTTTTTTTTTTTTTTTTTTTTAAGAACAATAAACACCTTTCTTTACTACCTGAGCTACGTCAGGGGAGAGGACTTACTTGCCTTTCTGGGCCTTGATTTTTCTCAGAACTCCAGCTTCTTGCCCTCGAGCACATAGCCATCTGCTTGCTCACACTGACCTGGTCTTGATGCAGGGCAGGTAAGAAGCTTGCCCTGTTGGAACTGTTCCTCCAGAAGATTGCTGATTTTGGCATTCTTTTTCCTTCATGTACTACTTTTGAACTTTCTTTGATCATTTCTTGTTTAAAATCTCTTCCTCCTCAGGAATCAGCTTGGCACCCTTCTTGTGGCCCAGGGGCAGTGCACAGTGGGATCTGTACCAGGCGGTCCGGCGTGCTGTCAGTGAGCACAGTGCAGTCCTTCACCAGGGTCTCGATGCGGGCCACCTCATGATTGGATGCATCGTAGACATCAATGCTTCTTGTTTTTCGAGTACAACACTCAGAGCTCCAGGAGAAGTTTCCCACATCCAGCCTCAGGGCACAGCACTTCTTGTTGGCGCCTCAAGCTTGGACTGTATATGTCGGGGTCTAGTCTTAGTGTTGGCAGCAGGGTAACCCGACTCCTACTTCCACTTCTTGGGGTAGGGCTATTTTGGCCCCCAGTCCTGCGGCATTTGAGCCAGTTGTCCCAAGAGATGCCCATCACTCGGCACTGGCTGGAAAGAGGATTAAAAAAAACCAAACTGTTTAAGAGGTCTAGGCAGAGTCACGAGGAGCACTCCGCAGAATTTTAGTACCTTGCAGCTTGGCCTGTTGGTTTTCTATTTTGAACTGGCTTGGCACAGTGTGCATGTAATTTTGAGGGATTTTGGTTTTGCATTGTTCTTTGTTTGAATTATGTGCAGACTTTAGTTAGACCTAAGCCTGCAATATTAAGTTTTTAGAAAGTTTTCTACTCCTCAGCATAGGATTGCTGCCTTTGAGGACTCCATGCCTCAGGTTCCAATACAGACTGACTGGTACCAAGTGCCCATCGCCTGGCCTGGCCCACAGTGGGACCTGTGGTGTGAGGGCACCTGCTACCCTGTCCCACTCTTCCTCACGCCTGCATCTGGGAAATGGGCACATTGTTGTCTGTTTTTCTGGAAAGGCCCTAGGGAGTGCAGGAGAATGAATGTCGGATCAGCTAACCCTGTCATTGCCGAGGCCGCCCTGAGCATGTCTGCAGCCCTGCTCCTTGTCACTGGTCCTGCCTGTAGGTGAGACAGGGGTGGTCTCCAGGCAGGAATGACAACAGCAGGTACCCAGCACATGCAGAATCCACTGTGGATGTCCCAGCTGCTTCGTGGAGGCAGAGGGTGGCCAGGTGTGCACAGCGAGAGGCCTAGTCACCCAGCCTGATGGCACGTGGTGCACTGTCCCCCTATGGCCTACCTGTGATATGGAGAAGAGTTTCTGGTGGAAGAAGGCAGGACTTGTGTTCCCAAGTCCTGCCCTCATTGTGGGCAGATGGCACGAGGTTGTGCTAGTCATCTGCTGCTGTGCAGCCAGTGACCTGGAGACCCCTCTCCAGTACCTACCTGCCCAGTATACGACACAGGCCTGAGGAAAGAAATACATTAAGAGACAACTAAGAAAGTGGGGTGCCAGGATGATCACTGCTGGTGTAACCAACAAAGGCACTGGCCGGTCTCAGGCACTGACTTTTATTGCCAACAATTGGGGTAAAGGCGAACTATGAGTGGTTTCTATGGAAATCAATGTAAACAAGGCTCATGAAGAACAAGATATCATTCTTGAATTAGGAACAGAATAGACAATACGTAGTTGTAATCAGAACACTGTCCTAGTCATAAGGTTTTAGTTGTGGGAATGCAATTTGGGTGCGAGTTATTCTGACCGTGGCATGCAGGCTTCAGCCAGACGAGCTTCTCCAAACAAGCCAATTGCGGGGTTAATTCTTCACAGCCTGCTTTGGGCATATTACAGTCTTCTGCAACCTCAAAATGAAATGGCCCACAACAAAATTAGTCATCTTTGTTTCTGTGAGTCAGGAGCCTGGGGTGGCCCAGTGGGATCCTCCGGCTTTGGCTCTTGGAGCCGCACACAGGTTTTGGAGGGTCTACTTTGAAGTTCAGTCTCATGGCTCTGGACTTCTGTCCCTTGCCAGGTGGGTCTCCATGTGACAGCTTCATCAGAGTGAGCAAACAGTGCTGGCAAGGGGGAGTTGCAGTCCTGGGTCACCTAGTGTTGGCAGGACAGCCAGCCAGTCACTGGCCAGCCTCCCATCGAGGAGAGGGGGCTGCGCGTGGGTGTGTGTTGGGCCTGTGGGCCGCTGCTGGGGTTGGCTTCCCAGAGAGTTTCCTTTTGGAGGACCTTGAGGGAAGGTGACAGTGGCCCTGGACTCTGGGGTAGGTGGCTTCTCTGCCATCCAGCCTGGAGCCAGGGAAGGCTGGCCTTTGCTTAGGCTGTTCACCCCTCC